GCGCCTGGGGGGCCGCGCAGCGCGGCGCTGCCCTGCTCCGGGGCGCGCAAAGCTGGCGGGGCAAAACCCGGCCGAGGCCGCGCTTCGCCGCGTTTCCTGCCGTCCCTGCGCCCCGGCCTCTCGCGGCGCCGGGACCACAAATGGGCCTTTTGAGAGCCGAAGGCGGATGGAAAGAAAAGTGCCGTTTAAGGGGGGAGAGGGGAATTGGGCATCATTAACCCGCTCGTTAGGAGGGGAGGGAGCGGTGCGGGGAGGGGGCTATGAAAGATGGGAATGTTCCTGATCTATAAAATAAAATACAGAGTATTCCCTGTGGAGGTTTAATGCGCACGATAATCAGAGTTAGTCATTCATATTTTCCTAGCCTTGCCTGAGCAATAAAAAATATTTAGTTTCTTGGCGCTGCGCCAGCAGCAGGCTGAATGGATCGATGCCTCTAAATGCCTGACATGATTCTCTGGTAGCTGCAAGGTTTTTCAGCATGACTGCCTGAGAAGAAAGGCCCTGGTGTTATCCAAAGCTGCTTATTGGGTACTGAGGAGAAACATGAACTGCTTTAGTTCTCCTTTTCAGACGGGAAAGAAAGGGAGGCAGAGGAGCTTAGAAACATTTCTACTTAGCAGGGGTGGCAGGCTCTGTTAGAAGAAATGAAATGATGGTAATTTCTCCTGCAGCTCGGAGAAACTAATTGAATTGCATCTGTACGGGGATGTCGCTGTTCTGCAGGGCTGTAGGTCGGGCCGAGCTGCTGGGGTTTTTCCAGTTCCCTCTAAAGGAGGTTTCGCGCTGCCATTTTCCCTCCAAGCCAACGTTTGGCATGCGAGGGGCCTTCCTGGAAAAGCCGACGCGTTTAATGTTTTCTGGATGTTAGTACTTGAAAACGAGCACAAAACCCCCTCCCTAACCGGAGCTGCACCGGGTGGCTTTGAGCTCCACGAACCCCCCCGGCGCGTGGTGACACGTGTTTTTTCAGAAGGTTTTTTGAAAGCCCCTTGGCTTGGCCGAGCTCGGCGCAGATGGAGCGGTCCCCGCGGCTGGGTCCTTCGCTCCCCTGACGAAAGCGGGCGATGCCGTCCTGGCTCCCCGAAGCCCAGCAGAAAGCGGCCGTGGGCTTTTGGGGAGCGCGGCGCTGGGGACGCAGCAAGCCGCCCCGGCCTTCGTGTGCGTCTTTATTTACTAGTAGCTGCCTGACGGGTTGCAGCGCCCGCCCGGGAGGCGCTGGGTTTGCAAGCAACTCCCTTGCGGGGTTTTCGTTTTCAAATAACAAACTCCTCCTCCCTGTTTTTGCTCTTTGCTTGCGGTGAGCAGCCTCCGGTGCCCGCAAACAGGCCTTGCAGAAATGGCACGCTCGCGCGGGGTCTGCCCGGACACATCCGCTCGCAGGATGTAGGAGCCCCGGCACGGCCCGCTCCTTAGCTAGCAGTGCGGCAGGACCCTGTTTGCTGTGCCTTTTAAGCTGCTGCTTGTGAAATCCCATTTTCTCATGTTCCTAACTCTTGAATTTTATTTATTTATTTATTTCCTGTTATTCCAGAATAATTCTGTCTCGCCCTCGGAAAGCCTGAGAGCCAGTGAGAAACACCGGAGCTCCACAGACTACGGCATCGACTCCAAAAAGCGGAAAGCAGAGGAGAAGGACAACATGAGCCGATATGTGAGTCGCAAAGGCGGTCTAGAGCCAGGCTGTGCAGTGCGGGGACTGAAAACTCGAACGGAGGTACCAGCCGGGGCCTGGGGCGCGTGGCACCCGTCGGGTAGGACTTTAAATGCAAGGACGTGGGTTTGGGGTAAAATTTTTCAAACCTGGTGTGGGTGACTTCTGCGTGAGCCGGGGGTTTGGGCTCCCCGGGGAGCTGTCCCCCTGCCCCGGGGTCTGGGAGGTCTCCGCAGGGTGGTGACTCGCTTTGTGTTCCAGGACAGCGATGGTGACAAAAGCGATGACCTGGTTGTGGATGTCTCCAACGAGGTGAGCGCCGCGGTTGGCCTCTCCCTGCCGTTCGGC